CTTCGGGACAACTCTCTCCACGCACGCCTAGACACCTAACACATACTTCAAAGGCCCACCCTGACTTCTTGGCTTCTAATCTAAGCCCTCCATTTGTATGACCGATAACCACTGTTCTGTCCCTCATTCCTCAATCTTCTCTTTATACTGACCCCATCCCCATGAGTTGCTCAAAGATCTTCTATCTTAGGGAGAAAAAACTTAACATAAAACAAAACCTTTCCACCCAGCCAGTGTGGCTCAGTGGTTGAGCACCGAACTATGAACCAGGAGGTTACAGTTCGATTCCCAGTCTGAGCACTTGCCCAGGTTACGGGCTCGATCCCTAGTGGAGGAGGGCAGGAGGCAGATGCGTCAACTGATGCTTTTTCTCTCGGCATTGATGTTTCTCTCTCTCTGAAATCGATAAAAATGCATCTAAAAAACACACACACACCTTTCTTTGACCCATACTGGCTGCTCCTCAAGAGCTGATGTTTTACAGGCCTGCACCTTTATAGTCCTTTTCCTCACTTTGCACAGCCTCCTTTTGCATCAGCTCTTGAAGAGCAGCCAATATGGGGTCATACAAGTCTCTCTCACATCTGAACCATTAGCAAGCAAATCTGTGTCTCTTACCCCTGAGCTCTCATGGTGACAATCCCACTAATGAATAGCACCGTCTACCTGTACATCCTGTGTATATCTCACACTCAGCATATCCAAAATTGAACAGCCATCCCCCCGCCCCAAATGTGTCTCCACTTAGGTTTGGATCTTTCAGTGGCTGACACTATCTACTCAGTTATTCACAGAAGAAACTCAGGAGTTACCCCAGATACCTTAGGTCACTGACTCAGGCCAATTCTTCCTTCAGTTCTCCTATCCGACCTCTGTCCATCCCCATATCAGGACCTGAGCTAAGGCGGTCGGGCCTGCCTTACTTCAGGTCCTGAGCATCTCTTGCTTATATTATTCAACTCCTTCCTAACCGCTTTCTCTGCCTCCAGCCTTGTTCTCTTCAGTCTACCCACAATGTGGTTACCAGATTTGGCCACGTAACCACCTTGCCTAAAATCCTCCAATGCATAACTAAAAAACCTCAGAGTGATTGTCTCTGGGGGTGGGGAGTCTGCAGGAGAAATATTTCCCTTTCAAACAGTAGTACATGTCTACCATTAACATGCACTACTCTACAAACCAAAATTTCAGTGGCTGCTAATGCTTACAATACAAAGTCCTTCATGATCTACCTGCTTTTAAGCTTCTCTCTCAAGTCATTCCTCTGTCTGGCCCTGGAGTCTCTCTCTCTCTCTCTCTCTCTCTCTCTCTCTCTCTCTCTCTCTATATATATATATATATATATATATATATATATATTTAATTTTTTACAAAGAGGAAGAGAGAGCTAGAAACATTGATGAGAGAGAAACATCGACCAGCTACCTCCTGCACACCCCCACTGGGGATGTGCCTGCAATCAATGTACATGCCCTTGACCGGAATCGAACCTGGGTCCTCAGTCCGCAGACCAATGCTCTATCTACAGAGCCAAACCGGTTTCCGCTATTCTATCATCTTTTAAGACTCTGCCCAAATAGCACCCCGTCCTGACTTCTCCAGACAGAATGGAGGTCTTCTTTCGTGCCATTTAATAGAGTCATATCATGGCATCAGCTCATGTTGTATAGAACGTTTAAACAGATGGTTGGTAAAATGTCTGTCTCCCTCCACGAGCCTTAGATTCCCTAAGAGCAGAAACTGCTTCTTAGTCTCTTTTGAATCTGCAGAGTCTAGTTTCTGAATCAAAATTTATGGAGGGAGAGTGCCTTGGATAAGAGTGTTTTTAAAAATGCTCATCAGGTGAGTCTAACTCAATCCCCCTTAACAACTGCACTATAATATAAACTCCCTGAGATCAGGAATCACTGTGTTCAGCACAATGTAGATATATGGTTCTATATATTCACAATGCTCAATATATGGTTCCTCATCTGAACCCAAGTAGACAAGTCTCAAAGGTGCGGCAGGAAAGGTTAGGGCTGAAGTTGTGGGAGTATCAGGATGCACCAGGATAGTGTGTGAAGTTGTGCAAATAGATAAGCTTACGCCAGAGTTTGGAGTGAGGAGTAAGGAAGCCAAGGCAGACTTGTCACACTGTAACTGCAGATGACTCATTTGCATGTGTTTTTCCATCCAGACTATGAGTTCCTTAAAGTTAGAACTCTGTCCTATTCATCTCTCTGTCCATCTGGCACTGAGCACACAGTACAGTGCAAGGTACATGTTAGGAGCTCAGGAACATCTTACTGCACATGTGTCAAACACAAGGCCCGCGGGCCAAATCCGTCCCGCCAGGCCTTGCAATGTGGCCCACACCGCGCTGTCATCACTGCACTCCGCTGCATTTCCATCACAATGACAGTTTATGACTGTTCAGTAAACCATTCGGCCCGCAATTTAGGCTGGATTTTAGATTTTGGCCCCTTCTCTGATTGAGTTCGACACCCCTATCTTACTGTGTTGTACCACTGGAAGCAGAGGTACAGTCCTTAAAGGACACAAAGTCGTGACTACTTTGGTCTGGAAGAGCTGGGAATAGAGGTTTTCAGAGGCAAGAGTGAGCTCAGTCCTGAAAGAGAAAATGAGGCTTAGAGGGCCAGGGTCAGGGCCACATTGTGAGAAGTCATGGACTCCCACCTAAGAATATAAGCCAGGCAGTGGGTGGCCTGAGAGTTTTAAAATTAATCTGAAATGGCCAGATTGACTTTTTATGAAGATAACTCGTGGCAGCATGAATGGCAGAGTAAAGCATTGAGAGACTCCAAGGAAGGAGCTGAATCAGTGGCTGGCGCCTAGTTAACACACTAACACACACACACACACACACACACACACACACACACGGAGGCAGTATCTACCTCCCTTAAATTTTACACCCAAGGGAAAGCAGGGGAGGGGATAAGAAGTCCATTCTATAAAAACCCCGAGATATAAGCCAAGCGACCTCTGCATCCCGCTCCCGCTGACCACCAAGCTGCACACCTGTTTTTCCGGTCTGAATTGGATGGGGCGTTCCTAAGTGGAAATGCCCAGGAACCTCTGTTCTACCTTCGGGGTTCCAAGCCCCAACCCGTCACTGCCCTCCCACCCCCGCCCCCACACCCCCGGACCAGGCTGTGCAGAGCGGCGCGGGGAGGAGGAAGGAGCGGCCCGGCGAGCGGGAAGCGCCCAGCATCACCTGGGTCGCGGGGCGGGAGACTGCGCGTGCGCACCTGAAACGTGCGCGCCCCGCCCTTTGCCTTTAAGTCGGGTGGCGGGAAAGGGGCCTTAGCCTCCCGGAGCGCCCCACAGCTTCGCAAGGGCGCATTCTCCTTAAGCCCACTAACCCACACACGCACTCACCCGCTCCCCACCGGTGCTCGGGGTCCCGGGGAGCCAGCGGCCCGCGGCAGTCTTTCCCGCCACCTCGCTCGGAGGGACCAATCGCCGCCGGCGGGCGGCAGGGGGCGGGGCGGAAAGGGGCGGGGCGAGGCGGGATGGTCCAAGTGACCCCAGCAAGCCGGGGTGGGGCCTGATGACAAAGTAAGGAAAAAGGAAGGGAGTACAAGGAGTTTTATCTGAACCGATCCTCTACTTACGCCTAAAGTCAGAACGCAATTAACTTTCTGCTGACTTAAGATATCAGGAATCAAAGTCCGATTAGATGTAAATTTACGAACATAATTCCCCCTCTCCAAGTCAAGTGGGTTATTCCAAAGTCTTCTATGGCTAGTTAGAAAAGTTGGGCTTTATTTAGGAGGAGGAGCGGGATGGAGTCGCTGGAGAGAGGGGTCTTTTGCGGGGCTGGGGTGTCTGTCTTGCTGGAGGTGAAGGTTTAAAGCTAGCCAAGTATGTAGGAGACGCCTGAAAGGAAATCAGCAATAAATATTCATTGGCCAGGTGAGAGTCTCTTCTGGCCTCAGCTGAGATGAGTGTATTTTGCCAACAACAAAGGAAGGCAGGGCTCACACGACTAATTATATCCTGAATTATTAACCATTTGAATAGAATGAATTAGTTTCTGGGATATGAGATATGTTAGAAGAGACTTGATGAAGATGAAAGTCCAATTGAGAGAAAAGTGAAAAGATGCACACAAAAAGGGAAATAAAAACACTATAAAACTAGTGATAAAAGCAGAAAGATGCCATTTGAAAAGTCTATTGATCAGCTCTAAATTATAACTCTGAGGGTGGCCTTGGGGAAAGGAAGAAAAACAAAAAAACTGAGGGTTCAAGCCTCTCCCTCCTTCACTCCCCTCTCACCTCTGCCTTGCTCCAGGCATCAGCTTTCCTGTTTCTGCCTAGGACCTCTGCCTTAAGTACCATCTGCCTCGAGGCCCAGCTGGGGAAGTCCAGTAGAATAGTTAAATTAATTTATCTAGATTGTAGGCTCTCATGCCTTGGGCCTTGGTTGGTGAGCTGGCTTGCTCAGGGTCTCCAAAGAGATCCATCATGCCAGAATAACACCAAACCCAGCCAGTGAATGTAGACAGGTTTGTGTGGCTTAACAGAAGGCTCTAACCACCCAGTGTTCACTTTTCTCAGAGCTACTGCCCCATCCAAGGCCCTGGAGCAAGCATCGCTGAGGTAACTTGGCTACACTCTCCCTTTAACTTCCCTACAGCTATTTGGTACAATTGCATCCTCAACTGGGGCTCATAGCTCCATTTTCTCTCTTCCTGCCCCTGCTCCTTCTCCCAACCTCTGGAATGCCTTGTGCCCTCCACTTTTCTCCACCTGCCTCCTGCGAGGAGTACTTCCTGCTTCCCAGCTCTCTCAGAAACCTAGAACCTTATACCTTATTGGCATGACCAGAAACTTAAGGTTTTGGCTTCCTGTGCTCATCGCACCGAGAGGAAGGTATAGGAGGATACCTTTTTTCCTTTCCCCACTTCTGCCGCCCTGCCCCACAACACAGTCAGGTTCACTCACATTCATACACACACAATGGCAAAGAGAGGTGAATGGGGAGGAAGGGAAGCTTGCACCGACCAGCTCAGGAATGCAACTTGAAAGATTTCACACAGCAAAAGGCAAAAAACAACAACAACTCACACATAAATTAAAAAATAAAGAAGTACATGCCCCTCCCCACAGCCCCTTTCTTCATCCAGGGGTGGCTTAGCCCCTCCTCATAAACTCAGAAGCTTCCTACTCCCTCTGTCCAACTGGAGCTTCTACAGGGCCTGGGTCTTCAATTCAACAGGTTCTCCTGTGCCCTCTGGTTGTGCAGTGGAGTCCCTGGGCCTGGTTCCCTTGAGGATAGACAGTCTCTCAGAAGCACTCTTGAGCCGGGGGAAGAGGAGGAAGTCGTAGAGGAGGCTGCCCAGGCCCCCTCCAATGATTGGGCCCACCCAGTATACCTGTAGGAAGAGGAAAGGAATAATCAGGCTTGGGGAGAGGACCAAGAGGAAGGCTGCTTCTTTCTCAACTCCACAGGCAGAAAACAGATGTACCGTCCTAACCAGTGTGGCTCAGTGGATAGAGCATTGGCCTGAAGAGTGGAGGGTCCTGGGTTCGATTCTGGTCAAGGGCATGTACCTTGGTTGTGGGCACATCCCCAGTAGGGAGTGTGCAGGAGGCAGCTGATCAGTGTTTCTCTCTCATTGATGTTTCTAATTCTCTATCCCTCTCCCTTTCTCTCTGTAAAATAATCAATAAAAAATATATTTAAAAAAATGTACTTGGGTACATACTTGGGCACTATTTAAACAGAAAACAGTGTTTGTTTTGTTAATCCTCATTCAAGGATATGTTTCTATTGATTTTTAGAGAGTGGAAGGGAAGGGGAGAGACAGAGAGAAAAAATTCAATGTGCCGAAACCGGTTTGGTAGAGGTCAGCGGACTGAAAGGTCCCAGGTTCGATTCCGGTCAAGGGCATGTACCTTCCCAGTGGGGGTGTGTGCAAGAGGCGGCTGATCGATGATTCTCTCTCATCGATGTTTCTAGCTCTCTATTCCTCTCTCTTCCTCTCTGTAAAAAATCAATAAAATATATTTTAAAAGAAAAAGAAAAAAGTCAATGTGAGAGAGACACATCATTGGTTGCCTTCTGCATGCACCCCGAGGGGGCCCAAGGATCAAGCATGCAATACTGCAACCAAGGGATCTGTGCCCTTAACCTGAACTGAATCTGGGACCGTTCAGTCCAAGGGCCGATGCTCTAGCCACTGAGCAAAACTGGCTAAGGCTGTTTGTGTGTTTTTAAACTTTAAACTGTCCAGCTGTCTGCACTTCAAAATTCACCTTTTTTCCCCTGACTCATAAAATTATTCCTTTATCTCATATCTTCTTAACACATGTATTTTCTCTTTGTTGTTATTCGTTGGTGCTAGCTTGCATATTACTTTGAAAAAATTTTAAATTGTGACAAAATGCACATAACATAAAATTTGCCATCTTAACCATTTCTTTTTTTAATTTTTATTTTTAAAAAGAACTTGATTTCAGAGACAGAGAGAGAAAGACAATGATTGGTTGCTCCACTTATGTTTGCATTCATTGGTTGCTTCTTGTATGCGCCCTCACCAGGGATCAAACTCACAACCTTGGCGTATTTGGATGACACTCTAACCAACTGAGCTAGGCCCTTCACCACTTCTAAGTGTGCAGTACCGTAATATTAAGTACGGTATATTCACATTGTCTGCAATCCCCACTTTTCATCTTGCAAAACTGAAACTCTACCTCCATTAAACAACAACTACCCATTTTCCCTCTCCCTAGCCCCTGCCAGCTATCATATTGCTTTATTTCAATAGATTCTACTACTGTAAATACCACATATGGGTGGAATTATAAAGTTTGTCTTTAGCAACTGACTTATTTCATTAAGCATAAGGTCCTCAAAGTTCATCCACGTTGCAGCATTTAACAGGATTTCCTTCTCTTGAAAGGCTGAATACTATGCCATTATATGTATATACTACAATACATTTTGTTTATTCATTCACCCATTCATTCATCTGTGAGGGACACTTGGGTTGCTTCTACTTCTGGTTATTGTGAATACTGTGGCTGTGAAAATGGGTGTACAGCTTTGAAAAAAAAATTATTAGAGTTTACAGTGAAAGAATGTATTAGTGAAGCTGTGAGACAGAAAGTGGGCTACTCCACAGAGCAGCCTGAAAATGTTTTTGAATTATTTTCAGGTTTTTGTCTGTCATATGGCCAAACAACACAAACAACCTATTTTTATTGAGGACTGATTCCATGCCAGATTCTGTGCTATAACTTTCACACTTACTTTTCGTAACGCCTTGTTTTATAGTAAGGAAATGGAGGTGCAGGAGGATTGTGTCCTTGCCATGATCACACACAAGGCTAGCAAAGTGCTAGAACTGGGACGAGGCCCAGGCCCATTTGTGCTCAGGTGTATCCTGACCTCTGAGAGTAGGAATGTTTGTCTTCCTGTTCAGTTGTCTGTCCCGACAGTGCTAGTTTTGGAATACAGTGGGTACTTAGCAAAATTCCCTAACTAACCAGTGAAGGAACAACATGAGCAAGAGCCTCTCTTTCTGGCAAAATAATGAGTCCTGTTCACACAGGCACCCCAGACTCTGTGGCAGCCCGTTTAGCTGAGTGCTGGTAGAGCAGTCAGCACACCCAGATGGAGAGCAGGAAGCAAACCTGGAACCTGCAATCCCCACGATCCAGGAGGGCGTCAGCATCTTGCTCCTTTCCCCTCACTCACCCAGTGGTTGGTGAAGTTTCTGGTGAGAATGGCAGGAGCAAAGGAGCGGGCAGGGTTCATGCCTGCACCAGTGTAATGCATCTGCAAAAGACACAGTTGTAACTGAGACACTTCCCACACTCTACCCAGCTTCTCTCCCCACAGCTCACAGATCCCTGGGGGCTGGCACCTTGTCTCTAGCAGCAAGAGGGAAGGAAAACTGCAAGGGAGTCCCACAGGGGAGTGAAGGCGCTGATGCCCCATCTGGGGATAGACTATGGATCCATCAGGTAAGCCAGTGGTCGGCAAATAGAGGCTCGTGAGCCACATGCGGCTCTTTGGCCCCTTGAGTGTGACTCTTCCACAAAATACCACGGCCTGAGTGAGTCTATTTTGAAGATGTGGCGTTAGAAGACATTTCAGTTTTAAAAATTTGGCTCTCAAAAGAAATGTCAATCGTTGTATTCTTGATATTTAGCTCTGTTGACTAATGAGTTTGCCGACCATTGAGCTAAACCCACAAATACCCGCAATGCATGCATTTCTACCTTGGGTTCAAGAAAGACCAGTTATGGCAGTCACAAGAGAGAGAGTAAGAAGGATTGATTCCTCTGGGCTGACTGATACAGAGGGAGGTGAGTAATGTTCGTGTTTGATAGTTAGGTGAGAAAGGTTTGGGGGTCCTGGAATCCTTAAATGAGTAATTGCTTCCCTCTCCTACTTACCCCAAAGAGGTGCCCCAGGGTGAGGGAAAAGCCAATGGCCAGGGCCACAGAGCCCAAGCGGCCATTCCGCCTCTCATCGTATGTGGCAAGGATGCAGAGCACGAACTGCAGCGTGAGGAAGATCTCCACGGCGGTGGCCTGGCCCACACTCACCCCAGGGTGCAACTAGGCGAAGGAAGAAGAGGGGAGGTCCATTAGGGCTGTCACAGCATTACCTCCTCCAGATTCCCACCCTCCTCCCTTTGATGGCATCTGTTTCCTAGAGATGAAAGATGATAGTAACTGTATTGTTTTCTAATTTCTCCTAACATTGGAAGTCATTGCACCAGTTTTAGGGATGCAGAAACAGTCCCCACAGGTAAAAGAAGTCCTCAGGAACCAGCAAGGAATTGGAAAGAAAGCTGGGGCGGGAACTCAGGTTCCTTGATTCTCAGTCCAGGGCTCTGGACTCTTATCCCTCCAAAGCACCTGCTGATCCTCCCCACCCGGAAACACACACACTCACACACACCATGCCCCAGATCCCCCCTGGGGTATAAACCCACCTGCATCAGGCAGGGGGTCAAGGCCCCAAGTCCCCTCAGCCCCACTCAGCTCATCATTACCGTGTTAAGTGCTAGGTTTCCTCGGACAGCAGGTGGGGTAACACTGTACAGCATGGCCGCCCCCACCACAGCTCCCAGGAGTTGGGCTGCCATATAGCCGAAGGCACGGAGCAGGGACATCTGGGAGCCCACAAGGAAGGCAAAAGTGACCGCAGGATTGACATGGGCGCCGCTGATGTGGCCCACAGCCTGCACCAGGGTTGCCAGGGCCAGGCCAAAGGCCAGAGCCACCTGCAAGACAGGCAGGGGTCCAGGGCCCCAATGCAGTGAGGCCCCCAGCCCGAGGAAGACATAGAAGAGGGTGGCAAAGAACTCAGCAAATATGGCCCTCCAGAAGGAGGCTGACTGCAGCTCCCACATGGCAAAGGGATGGGCACAGGGCCTGGGTCCCTGATCCTCCTTGGCCTGATTTGGGTGGAGAGTCCCCTTTATAGAGGACTCTGAATCCCTGGGTGGGGCAGGCTGAAGTGGCTGGCCCAGCCTCTTAACCCTTTCATAGCTGCAGAGGGCCGGCCCACTCTCATGCCTCTGACAGAGCTGCTGGACTTTCCTCTCCCTCCTCAACTGGGAGGTGAGCAGAGCCCTGGGTGTAAAGGTGGCAGTAGGGACAGGGCTGGAGAGGCTCTGATAGAAAAGGACCAAGAATAGGGGGAAGATCCCTTGCTTTTCATGTCAAAGTTGGGGTTCATAGTCCTGATGGACATCTATATTAGAACATTCCTCAATGCTGCTTGGAAGGCAGGCAAGCTGAGTTCACTTCGCGGAGTATGAGAATGTGCTCCTAGGGGCTTCCAGACTCCTCTGAGTCAGCCTAGGGTAAGGGCGAGGGTGGGGGTCAGGAGCGGGGTGCAGCAGGGATGTCGGAAAACTGACAAAGAATTCTTTAGTTCTCTGGGATTAGAGGGCCTTCTTCTATTGGCTGGTTTGGGCTGGAATCTGTGCACCCTGCAGCTCTGGGACAAGAATAGTTCTGCTGTGTCTGGCTTTCTCAGAGCCCGGGTTCCCTACCCCCAACCCATGCCAGCACCATCCTTTCCCAACCCTCAGCCTGCCTTTCAAGCACAGGGACAGACAGGGAGAAGAAGCTATCTTCCATGGAAAGGTTGGAAGTGAGGTTGGAGGACTGGGGAGAGGAAAGGGTTAAATCCCAGAATCAGCTTTCACTTCACCTTCCCTAACTCACAAGGCCTAGCAGGAGGTACAGAAAGGAAAGAAACAGTCAAGGCTATGAAGCAGTGGGAGGATTTACTGCCTCCTACTATGGCTGTGATCAGGACACTAGAGTCCTAAAATTTGATTCTTTGGGAAAGGAAGGGCTGGGGACACGTGGGGAAACAGGCCGAACAAAAGAGAGGAAAGGACAGGATGGAGAGATAAGCTTGAAGAAAGAGGTTTATCAATAGTTGTGCTGGAGCTTGGTGAAGGTCTTGGAATCTAGAAGTGGGGGTTGTGTGGTGGTGAAGGCAAAATGAGAAACACTGGTATGCTTCACTACCTCCACATTGTAGCAAGTCATAGAGGCACAAGCTTTTCTCGTGAAGCACCAGAGGAGAACAAAAATTTGAAGGCTAGGCCTGCAATATTGGTGCTGAGCATCGGTCCCATCCAGTACACCTGTGGGGAGAGAGGAGGAACACAGATCAGGCCTGTGCTCCCCTCCTCCCCCTATATCCAGCTTGAGGGTGGACAGGCAGGGTTACAACAAAGGAGAAGTTGCTGAGAACAGGTTAGAGGGCACCCAGGGGAACTGGAGCTTCCAATTTCATGGAAGAGGAAGAACCTATCAGAGAGTCTTGGAGTCTCATGTTTTATGAGCTTTACCGATCTCCTGACTTCAGGTCCTATAACTTTGTCCAGTGATGCTCCCAGATGCCAGTCATCACTGCTGGACCCAGAGAGTGAATAGGGTTTGTGTTGCTTCTAAGAAAGGACCCTGGCTCATCTGGTGGGGCTCAGCAGTTGAATGTCAACCTATGAACCAGGAGGTCATGGTTCAATTCCCAGTCAGGGCACATGCCTGGATTGTAGGCTCCATCCCATACAGAAGGCTGCAGATCAATGATCCTCTTTCATCATTGAGGTTTCTCTTTCTCTCACTCTCCATTCCTCTCTGAAATAAATAAAAATAATAAACAAACAAACAAATAAATAAGGACCCCTGGATACGAGAGAGGTAGTACACATGGTATTAAGAGCAAAGACTTTAGCAACTGATATTTTGGTTTAGATATGGGATAGAACCAGTTATGACTGCTGGTGGGAGTGTGAATTGGGATAACCATTTGGAACACAGTATAGCAACTTCTTGTAAACAAACACATGCTTTCTGACTCCGGAATTTCACTGCTTACTTATATAACCAAGAAAAACCTTTCTATACTTCCACCAGGAGACATCCACAGAGCAGCACTGTTCACAACAGCAAAACACTTGAAGTAACCCAAGTGCCCATTACAGGAGAATAGAAGAATAAACAGCGGTATATTTACACAATGGAAACTATTCAGCAGTCAAAATGAGTGAACCCTACAGTAACACTCAGTAATAGAAATGAATCTAAGCAATAAAAAATCAAACAAATAGCTGAAACCAGTTTGGCTCAGTGGATAGAGTGTCGGTCTGTGGACTGAAGGGTCCCGGGTTCAATGCCGGTCAAGGGCATGTACCTTGGTTGTGGGCACATCCCCAGTAGGGGGTGTGCAAGAGGCAGCTGGTCTATGATTCTCTCTCACCGATGTTTCTAACTCTCTATCCCTCTCTCTTCCTCTCTGTAAAAAGTCAATAAAAAATATATTTTAAAAAAATATATCAAACAAATAAATAGTGCCAGCAGACTATGCATGGCATGATAATCTTTTTGTAAAGTTAAAAAATATTGAAATGAAAATATGCTTCTTAGAATACTATAAATGAGATGAAACTACACAAAAAAGAAAACATGTGTGCATGTGTGTTGATTTCTGTGACTGTCAAGGTTCTAGTTTTACTTGTGGGTGGATGGTTAATAATGATGAGTAAGTATTATCTTAAAAAGAAGCCAAGTAAGTGTGTGCCATATAAAGGCCAATGAGGAGAGACTGTCATAAACCAAGAATTATTCTGTACACTTGAAATCCATTAAGAACAGCAGCAACAAAAATCTTGGCTTTACCACTTTTAGGTGAGGAAGCTCTCCCCACCAAATATGACCTCTATGGTAGAGATGTGTCTGATTTGTTCACCACTGCAAACCCATGCTTGACATATTTATTGAATAAATTAATGTAAGCTCTCTGGGCTTCATCTTTTTTTTTTTTTTTTAGATTTCAAGCTGGGAGCTGGGTGGGCTGCCATACTGTCTGCTGGAGAGGCAGGAAGAGACAGTGACCCCTCCCAGTGCATTTATTTTATACCCCCAATACCAGGAAGGTATCATCAACTTATTTGCATTCTTGAATAGGCCCTAGCATGCTTGGATTTATATAACTAGTCCCACTCCTGCTGACACACCTGGGCTGATATGAAGGCCAAGTTGACAACATGTTCTGGGCTTCATCTTATCAAATAAGATAATGTAGGCAGCCCTGGCTGAGTGGCTCAGTTGGTTGAGGTGTTGTCCTGTATACCAAAAGGTTGTGGGTTCACTCCACAGTGGGGGCATGTGCAGGAGGCATCTGATCAATGTTTCTCTCATGTCAATGTTTCTCTCTCTCTCTCTCTCTCAAAATAAATAAAAATATATCCTCAGGTGAGGATTAAAAAACAATAAAGGTACTGCTGTAGGTAAAGGCCTAGTATAGTGCCTAACCCAAAATAAAGCACTTAATAAATAGGAGCCATTCGACATGGGTTTTATTCCCAGGAAGGGATTATACCTAACCACCAACTCTGTAACCTCATAATAAGAGACAGCGGGCAAAGAGCAGCTAATTTGGTTCCTTTATAGACACCAAACAAAAAGGTTAGATTTCTGCCTTGGCTGCTGTGGCTCAATTGGTTGAGAATCATCCCCATGCATCAAAGGTCACCAGTTCAACACGGTCAAGGCACATGCTGGATTTCGGGCTGATCCTCAGTAGGGGGTATGCAGAAAGCATCCCATAGATGTTTCCTCACTGATGGTTCTATCTCTCTCTTCCTCTCTCTCTACAGTAAATACAAACATATCTAAAAATGATTAAATTTTCTTATTTGATGCTACCAACCTCCCTCCTTTATTCCTCATTAAACCTCCCCCTGGAGGTCTGAATACCAGAACATTTCTTTTCACACCAGCCTCTCCACTCAGTGGAATGCCAAACTTGCAAACTAGAGGTGAACTCTCAAAAACTCACTTGAGTTTTTGCATTGATTTAGGTATAATTAGCATACTCAATGTTTTCTATTAATCCAGCTTCTTAAAACACAAACATGAAAAACAACTGTCTCTGCCTTGAGGAGTAGAATCCAGCCTTCCCCAAGCCCCCTGTTTGGTTTGGGTGGGTACTTACCCATGGTCACCGAGAGACCCACCACCAGGCTGCCTTCCCTCTCCAACCCCCTACATTTTGGGGAAGACACAGCAAACATGGTGAGTACCAGCTAGAGAGTAAGAAAAAGTTGCCGAAACCAGTTTGGCTCAGTGGTAGAGCTTCGGCCTGCGGACTGAAGGGTCCTGGGTTCGATTCCTGTCGAGGGCATGTGCATTGGTTGTGTGCACATCCCTGGTAGGGGGTGTGCAAGAGGCAGCTGGTCGATGTTTCTCTGTCATAGACGTTTCTAACTCTCTCTCCCTCTCCCTTCCTCTCTGTAAAAAAATCAATAAAATATATTAAAAAAAAAAAAAAAGAAAAAGAAAAAGAAAGAAAAACTCCATACTCAGATCTTGGTCTATATGTGTCCTCTTGCTCACCAGAGGAGACTAGGACAAGGCGTGGGAGGACACATACATCCTCCCACTGTCCTCAGGCCCCATGATCCATCCACCAAAGAAGCTTTAAGCAAAGAGTCTGCAGCAAGTCACCCAAATTCCTGAATTGCTAAACAAAACATCATTGGTCTATTTGTATGATACTGGCTCAATGAGAGGATGCACAGAGCAGTGGTGCTCCCTTTTTCCCCCCTTAAAGTCTTTTAAAAATATATACTTTTATTGATTTCAGAAAGGAAACTAGAGGGAGAAAGAGCTAAAAACTTCAATGATGATGAGAGATTGACTGCCTCCTGCACATCCCACACTGGGAATCGAGGCTGTAACTTGGGCATGTGCCCTGAGCCACACCTGTGGGGAAGCGTAAAGACTTATCAGTCATACTACTCATTACCTACCTAGTGCTACCCTATTCAGGGAAGGGAGCTGCTGCTAACCTGGTTGGCCAGCTGGGTTGCAGCCATCTGAGGCAGTGTCAGGTAGAAGAGGATCAAAGCCAGGACGGCTGCTGTGCTCTGGGTCAAGACATAGGACACTGTTGGAGAGGGTCAAGCCAGTGGGCACAGAACTAACAAATGGGCCATTGGAATCTGCAAAGGAAAGTGTGCAGGAGGCAAATGCCCTAGAGTGAAACATTCTTTCTACAAAAAAATAAAAATAAATAAATAAATTATATATATATATATTTCAGAAAGGAAGAGAGAGGGAGAGAGAGATAGAAACATCAATGATGAGAGAGAATCATTGATTGACAAGCCTGCAAGCCGGGCATATGCTCTCGACCGGAATCAAACCTGGCACCCTTCAGTCCACAGGCTGACATGCTATCCACTGAGCCAAACTGGCTAGGGCTACTCTTCTCTCTTCTTGCCTTAAACATACAGACATTTGTGAAGATTTCCCCCCCACTAGTAACTATGAAAATGGAGAAAAAGGATTTGTAAAATAACAAACTTGGAGTAGTTACGAAGTTATTTTATGGCTTATAGTAGTAATCACCCTGGAGTCTCATCTATCTCTACACTTGATTGAATTATCTCTTGATTACTAATGATCAGTTTTTCAACCTCTTTATATTCCTGGGACTAATGAGCCCCAATTTAGTCCCTGCCCCCCTTGATAAAGAAGGCCCCATTTCTCAGTTCCAGAGAGGTGCCATAGGGAGCATAATCCATACTACTAGGGAGGAAATGAGTCTATAAAGCTCAGGGAATCTTCAGGCAGAGCTAATTGTCTTGCAATATTTAACTCCCAAGCCAGTCCATATCACCAGGACCTAAAGAATAACCCATGTTTGAGTTTCATCAAAATACCTGCCTTGCAGATCTTTTAGGATTGTATGAGGATCAAATGAGATATGCCCAAGCAATATACATATGTTGTTAGCTGCCCTAAATAAAAATATAAATGACGGATTCATTAATTAATCATATATAAATAATTTATAATTGCCACGTATTGAACGTCCTCTTTAGCGATTAAGATGTGGTTGAAGAGAGCTATGGTCCTGAGGGGCTGAGTGGCCATCCATCTCTGTTTCCACCGTGTGCACTCTCTCTCCCAGCCCATTCCCAGAATGCCAGGTCAGCATGTAACCCAGCTCCATTGTGTGCCAGCAGGACAAAAGCCCCATCAGAGCACAACCCAGCCCAGCAGCCCTTTGGCTAGCTCCTGGGGCCCCCTTCTCTCTCTTTCTCTGGCTATAGTTTGCTGACTGCTGACTGCTGGCAAAGTCAGAATAATAACCAAGCTCTGAGGGCATCATTCCTCTCCCATCCATGGATCAGACCAGGGCCCCCACATGTTAGAAATAAGGTAATCTGCCCTGGCTGGTTTGGCTCAGTGGATAGAGCGTTGACCTGTGGACTGAAAGATCCCAGGTTCGATTCAGTCATTGATCAGGGCACAAGCCCAGGTTGCCAGCTCGATCCCCAGTAGGGGGCATGCAGGAGGCAGGGGAACAATGATTTCTCTCATCACTGATGTTTCTATTTCTCTCTTTATCTCCCTTCCTCTCTGAAATACATACATATATATATATATATATATATATATATATATATATATATGAAATAGAGTGAAAATAAACTGTCCAATTCTGTTCTTGCTTCCTTCTCCCTTTCCTTACCTACAAAGTCAGATACAACCCCAGGCCAGGCAGACCAGTGCTCACTATCTGGGTCAGGTTCCATTCTAAGCCCTTCATATGTGTTGTCTCAGGTACTGTATTCCTTAGGATTGCACCTTCAATTTTCCCCCACTTACTTAAGTTTACACCCCCTCCTTGAATGACTTCATTTCTCTCTTGAAATTTATATCCACATATCTACAGACCATTCCCCCTGGGTATTCCACAGACACCTCAAATTCAGTCCCTCTAAAACTCAACTAATTATCTTTCCCCCATCCAAACATGCTTTTCCTTCTGTGTCCCCTCATTAAATCAGAAACCTATGAATTAACTTTCCTTCCCCCATCCTCTCATCCAGTCACTAAAGCTCCATCAATTCTACTTCATAGATAGCTGAGCTCACACCATGTCTCATCTGAGGACGTCAGTGGCCTCAGACCCTGTTTCTAGCCTCACCCCCTTCAATGAATTCTCCATGTTGCTGCCAGCCCTAGCTTAATAAAAGTAGTTTGTCATTTCCATGTATTCCCTCCAACAGCTCCTGAATGCCTGAAAGATGTTTTTCTTTTACTTTTATTAGTAGTATTTCTTTTATGATGAATTTACTCCCAGGCTGTAAGTTTTTATTTCTTTAGTTTCTTCTGGGTTATCTTTTTCTTTAATATATTTTTATTGATTTCAGAAAGGAAGGGAGAGGGAGAGATAGAAACATCAATGATGAGAGAGAATCACCCATTGACTGGCTGCCTCCTGCATGCCCCACACTGGGGATTGAGCCTGCAACCCAGGCATGTGCTTCTTGCCGGAATCAAACCTGGGACCCCTCAGTCCACAGGCTGATACTGTATCCACTGAGCCAAACCCGCTAGGGCTGGGATATTTTTTTCTTTGGTGCAACTTCTTCTGGTTTAGAAACAAGCTGTTCTCCCCGCCGCCCACCCCTTCTCAATATGGCAGGGAGAGCTTATGTATGAGATAATCTGCCCATGAGCTCTGTAAATTCTGCATTGCATCTTGGGAGCTTTGTTCATCTGGATGGGCTTAGTGACCAGAGAATCTACATCTAAACCATAAGTTCAGCATTACTCTCTGCATTTTCAAGCATGTGCAGCAAAAATTCGGCACTCTTTTTGGGCCACTGACCCCGAGTCCAGCTCCATTGTTTGGTCTAGGTACACCTACCATCTCTACCATGGTAACAGTGAGACAGCACACATCGCTTCTGTAATGTGACATCCTTCAGATACTTGGCGTCTTTTTAGATATGGATACCCTTGATGGTCGGGGCAGTTTCATGAGTGTTCTTAAAGTGAACATAAAGATTTGCATTTCTTGATTTGCGTGATTTTGTGTGGTTTTCAGGGTCAAGTGAATAGTGAACCATTTTCTGGGGTCACCTCTGGCTACTTTCTGGAAGAGCTGAAAGATTCTTATCATGGCATATATGACTCTTCATAATCCAGCCTCAACTTTTCCAACTGCTCTTCTTTTTTTTTTTAAATATATTTTATTGATTTTGTACAGAGAGGAAGTGAGAGAGATAGTTAGAAACATCAATGAGAGTCATTGATCAGCTGCCTCTTGCACATCCCCTTCTGGGGATTTGCCCGCAACCAAGGTACACGCCCTTGACCGGAATCGAACCTGGGACCTTTCAGTCCCCAAGCCGACGCTCTGTCCATTGAGCCAAACCGGTTTCGGCCCAACTGCTCTTCTTATTACCTCAGCATGAGACGCTGGCAATATTGTGCTTCTGTGGCTCCTCAAACATTCGATTCTGTTTCATAATCCAGTGCGTTAGCCTAAACTGTCCCCTATACCTTAAATGTCTTTCCTCCTTTGTTCATCAAGTAAAATTTTTTTTTTTTTTTTTTTTGACAAAGGTACTTGGACATTTTAATGGAACTTCCCTCCACGTAGCCTCAAGCTACCAGGACACAGGCCCCACCAACACCCTTAATCTTCTCCTCGGCTCTTCTGCTGAAGAACTTGGCCTTCACAATGACAGGCTGCTTTGGTAGCTTTCCCTTCCCCAGAACTTTGTAGTAGCCCGATCGCACCACATCAATGATGGGAGCAACTCCAGTCTTGCTTTTGGCAGCATTTACCCGCGTCTGCTCACTGACCAGGGTCCACAGTTTATCAAGGTTGACAGTTGGGCAGAAGCTCTGGTTCCTCTTTAAGTGGAAATGCCTCATACCAACTTTCCCAAAGTAACCTGGGTGATATTTGTCGAAGTTGATCCTGTGATGATGCAAGCCACCAGCATTACCTCGCCCCCCCCCCCCCGGGTGCTTCCTGTGCTTGCCGATGCGGCCGTGGCCGTGGCTCACGTGGCCCCGAAGTTTTCGGGTCTTCCTGAGTCTGGATGGCATGTCGGTGGCCGAGCTGCAAGAGCCATCAAGTAAAATTTTATCACTTCCTAATTGTTATGCATGGAAATGTTAAGAATTACTTGTTCATTAGCAATGAGGTGGTAAATCATCTGAATGATGTGAGTTTATTAGATGGATAGTCCATCTGTAAAAGTGAAATAATGCAAGAGATGACAGGTAAGAAACTATTTGCTTCAGCTCTCACGATCTGAACATAATCCAGAAAATTTCCTCTCATTATTACCAGAAATTTTCCTCTCATTATTACCAAAATGCAAAAAGTACTGACAGAAGAGGATTCTGAAGGAAATTTATCCTCTACCCATTCGCTCCTAGGCTTAAAAGGAATAGACACCTCGCCCTGCCGGTGTTGCTCGGTGGTTGAGCGTCAACCTATGAATCAGGAGGTTGCAGTTAGATTCGGGTCAGAGCACATGCTTGGGGCTGCAGGCTAGATCCCCAGTAGGGGGTGTGTGGAAGGCAGCCGATCGATGATTCTCTCTCATCATTGGTGTTTGTATCTCTCTCTCCCTTTCCCTTTCTCTCTGAAATCAATAAAAAAAATTTTTTTTTTTTTTTTTTAAGGACTAGAAACCTCTTACATATTAAGCCAGACGAAAAGGCTGTGCCAGGCCGACCCCTGCTGGAGCCAAGAAACCACTGCACTCCAGGAATGTGAGTACAAAATTTTTTCCCTTCATACTACTCATTCATTATTCATTCATTCAAAAACAGTGAACACTCATCTGTACTACTGGGAATACTGAGGCCCCGGGGCAGAGAGAACAAAGGACTTAATTCTTAATTCTTAAGAATCCACAATCTAATGTATGAGATAGGCAGCTGCCTCCTTAAATGTTCTCTTGACAGCATTGAGGAGAATGAGAGATGAGTTAGAAGGCCAATGCAGTACTCCAGGGATTTAATGTGTTAGGGATTCAATGACAATCAGTTATGTGAGAGGGGGACAAAGGTCTCCGACTTCCAGGTTTCTGACCTGGGAAACTGGCTGGTTATGGGTGGCATTTCCCAGAGTCAGGGAATCTAGGAAGTTTATGTAGGAAGACAAAATTAGCTTTAGACATGTTAAAATTGAGGTGATGCCCTGGCTGGTGTGGCTCAGTTGGCTGGAGCATTAGGCCCACCAGAAGGATCCAGGTTTGATTTTGGATCAGGACACATACATAGGTTGTGGGTTTGATCCCCGTACTGGTAAGGTGTGGAAAGGCAGGCAATTGTTCTCTCTCACATCAATGTTTTCCTCTCTCTCCCTTCCTCGCTTTCTGAAATCAATACCCATAATAATAAAATCAGTAAGATTGGGGGAACAAAGATTGAAGTAACTGGGGGACACCAGGTAGAAATGACCAATAGGCTGTTGGGTATATAGATCTGGACTCAGGAAAGACATATAGGGTAGAGTTTTTGAGAGTCCTCCAATACTTGATAGGGGACTCCACCAGAATAGATGAGATACTTAAGAGTATGCATATTGGGAAAGACTTGAGCTGAGATCTTCAGCAGGCTAGGGTTCTTTCACTTGTGCTTTAAAGCTATAGCTATGACTTCTGGGAAGTCTCTCCCCAACACTCCCTCATCTACAAGAAACCAGATGCTTCTTCTTTGCTTACTGAATATCCTATAATCACTTCAATCATGGCACTTAGTGTATCCTATTGCCTCTGCCAACATTCTCATTTATCCACTAGCAGGGGTCTTCAAACTTCTCTCATTATGAGAATCACCTGGTGGAGGTGTTAAAACACAGATTCCTGATAGCACTTCTTATAGTTGGGATCCGGGAATCTGTGTTTTAACAACTCCACCAGGTGATTCTCATAATGAGAGAAGTTTGAAGACCCCTGCGTAGACCTTTGAAAGAGGAATTGTGTTTTGTAAGGAAAAAAAAATGAACGTAGGCAGCAGTAATATTATGTAGAGTTTTATGACCATGGAATTTGCTAAGGAATTTGATGCAGGCACATTAAAAGATTTAAGTAGTAGCCGAAACCGGTTTGGCTCAGTGGATAGAGCGTCGGTCTGTGGACTGAAAGGTCTCAGGTTGAACTGATTTGGTCAAGGGCATGTACATTGGTTGCGGGCACATCCCCAGTAGGGGGTGTGCAAGAGGCAGCTGACTGATGTTTCTCATCGATGTTTCTAGCTCTCTATCCCTCTCCCTTCCTCTCTGTAAAAAATCAATAAAATATATTTAAATAAAGATTTAAGTAGGGGAGTGGTATGATCAAATTTGTGATTTAGAAATATCACTCTGGCCCTGGCTGGTTTGGCTCAGTGGATAGAGCACTGGCCTGCGGACTGAAAGGTCCCAGGTTTGATTTTGGTCAGGGGCACAAGCCTGGGTTGAGGGCTCAATCCCCACTAGGGGGTGTGCAGGAGGCAGCCAATCAATGATTCTCTCATTATTGATGTTTCTCTCTCTTCTCCCTTCCTCTCTGACATCAATAAAACGTATTAAAAAATATCACTCTGACTGCAGTGTGGACACTGAATTAAAGCGGACGGAAAGCCCCCACACTGGCTGGTGTGACTCAGTGGGCCTCCAGCAATTTCCCATCAAGGGCACGTGCCTGGGTTGTAGGCCCAGAGGCTAGTGGAGGCAACCAATCCAAGTGTTTCTCTCTCTCTCCACCTCCTTCCCTTCCACTCTAAAAAAAAAATCAATGGAAAAAAAATCCTCGGGTGAGGATTAACAAAGACACACACAAACAAAACAGTGATGTTTTTGGTTAACTTGGGAAAAACAAATGAGGGTTTAACCTCCATTCCTAGTTCTGAAAATACAAAACCAACATTTACAGTACTTATGTATTTAATATTAATTAAAACAACTGCATCCTACCCACTGGCTACTTGTCAAGTGGTATTCTAAGCTGTTCTCTCATTTAATTTTCCCTAAGGTCTGTTAGCCAGATGCTTTGTTGTTGTTGCAGAGCACAATGAGTTTTAATGTCTCCCCTTTGGGGGAGAGGAGGTAAAACTACCCACTTTTGTAAGATACTCCAAATTGGTTTGGCATTTTGCAAGAAGGATTTGGTCCAATCTCTCAATGGTTTAGGATAGCAAAAGGCACATTAGGTTGGCTCCACTGGGCTGAGGCAGAGGGGTCGGGGAGGTGGTGAGGGGAGGCGGGCAGGGCACAGGGGTGGGCGAAGTCCTCGCGGGGGGGGTAGTGGCCCGCGGCTCAGGCCGGGTAGAGGCTGCCGCGGCAGCCGTCGTCTGCCCAGTCCACCAGCTCGCCGCTCTGGAACCACAGCCGGATCTCCCGCTGGGCCCCCTCCACGGAGGCGTGGGTAAGGTTCCTTCTCATGTGGAGGCTGAAGTCTCCTCGGATGGTGCCGTGGCCAGCCTCAGCCGGGTCGGTAAGCCCGACCATGACCCTGGAGGTGCCCACCACGTTGGGGCCTCCCCAGACCATGGCCACCACGGGCCCCGAGCGCATGTGGCTGAGGAGGGCCGCGTAGAAGGGCTTCCCCCGATGGTGCCGGTAGAGCTCGGCGAGGACGCTCTCGGGCGCCCGCAGCATCTTCATCCCCACCAGCTGGAAGCTCCGCCTCTCAGAACGCCGGATCACCTCGCCCACCAGCCGCCGCCGCACCGCGTCGGGCTTCCCGGAGCTGGGCCGCACCAGCAGGCGGGGCACCCGGGCCCGCGGGCCGCACAACAGCTCCTTCAGCGCGGCGCGCCCGAATTGGCCGCTCATGGCGCCCGGGCCGTGGGCGCTGGCTGTGGGTGCTGGCTTTGTCGGCTAGAGATTTCCCCCCCACAAATGAGAACTCGAGAGCTCGGAGAAGTGTTTTGTCTAAAGCCATACAGCGGGGCCGGGTTCGAACCCAATTATTGTTTAATTCTAAAACCACTTGTAACCGTCTTGCTTCATCATCTCTCTAACGGTCTTAGTCAGTTAAAACGCGAGCAGGATTCCGTCCTCCGAAAAAAACACACCAATAAACTGTGCCCACCGCCGCTGGCTCACTAAAATGGCGGCTCCCTCACGGGCGCCGACTCTCTTACGTCATCGCCCTGCGCCACAGCGTCTCGCGCACCGAGTGCGAGCGAGCGAAGCGGGCGGGCTGAGGGCGGGGTCACAGGTGGGGCCTTGTACCTAGTCCTTCCGGGGCGCAAGATGGCGCTGCCCTTTGCGTGTTCGCCTTGCCTCTGCCGCTGGGGAGCCAAACGATTGGGGGCTGCCGCCGCCGAAGCCCGCAGAGGTAGGGTCGTCTCCTTTCTCCTAAAAACGGTTTCCCATAGCTTTTCCACCCCCCACCTGCGTTGGTGTTGAAATCCCAAACCTAGGACACTCTCTGGGCTCTTTAAAAGCCTAGGGCAATGGTCGGCAAACTGCGGCTCGCGAGCACATGCGGCTCTTTGGCCCCTTGAGTGTTGCTCTTCCACAAAATACCACGTGCGGGCGCCCACGTACAGTGCGATTGAAACTTCGTGGCCCATGCGCAGAAGTCGACTTTCAGCTCTCAAATCTCAGTCTTTGTACTGTTGATATTGGGTTCTGTTGACTAATGAGTTTGCCGACCACTGACCTAGGGCTTTGACAGCCGGAGCTTTTTGGCTCCTTGGGCTGCCTGTATAAAGCACCCCGCTTCCTTGCCTGATCCATTTGCTGACTCTTTCCCGCTTCTTGGCGACCCCATGACAGCCTGCTTCCCTTTGTCTCTGTCTCTAGATCTCCCCTGTCATCACCCAGTGTCTTTACTCTGCCCGCAGGCGTCAGTTTCAAACTGGAAGAGAAAACCGCCCACAGCAGCCTGGCGCTCTTCAAAGGTGACACAGGTGTCAAATATGGCATGGTGGGATTGGAGCCCACCCAGTTGGCCCTGAATGTGGAGCGTTTCCGGGAGTGGGCAGTGGTGCTGGCAGACACGGCTGTCACCAGTGGCAGACACTACTGGGAGGTGACTGTGAAGCGCTCGCAGCAGTTCCGGGTAGGCGTGGCGGATGTGGACATTTCTCGGGATAGCTGCATCGGTGTCGATGGCCGTTCCTGGGTGTTCGCCTATGCCCAGCGCAAGTGGCATTCCATGTTGGCCAACGAGAAAGCCCCTATTGAGGGCATTGGGGATCCAGAGAAGGTGGGGCTGCTGCTGAAGTATGAGGCCCAGAAGCTGAGCTTGGTGGATGTGAGCCGGGTTGCTGTGGTCCACACGCTACAAACAGATTTCCAGGGTCCAGTGGTACCTGCCTTTGCCCTTTGGGATGGAGAATTGCTGACCCATTCGGGGCTTGAGGTGCCTAAAGGCCTCTAGTGTGTCCATCACTGGAGTTCCCAATCACACCCTTGCCATTGTCCTCCTCCCAGTGTCTGGAACCTTTTAACTTTGCCTCAAGTAACCTCTGGCTCCCTCTGTGCAATGTCTTAGTCATTTCCCTCCCCCCTACCTGTGAAAGCTAGGCTACTGCCAATTTTCCTAGGCTGCCATGAATGTATGTTCCTTGACTTGCTTCATTGGGTCCCTCCGTCTTCCTGGGCCCAGGCCTTTCTCAGACTGTTCAGTCCTGGAGTCTTTCCTTTCAGCTTTGTTTGGATTTGCTCATCACTATTATACCTTTCTTTCTTTCTTTTTCTTTTTAAAAAAATATATTTTATTGATTTTCCACAGAGAGGAAGGGATAGAGAGCTAGAAATGTCGATGAGAGAGAAACATCAACCAGCTGCCTCCTGCACACCCCCTACCGGGGATATGCCTGCAACCAATGTACATGCCCTTGATCGGAATCGAACCTGGGACCTTTCAGTCTGCAGATCGATGCTCTATCCCACATGTGTCAAACACAAGGCCCGTGGGCCAAATCCGTCCCACCAGGCCTTGCAATGTGGCCCCCACCGCACTGTCATCACTGCACTCCGCTGCGTTTCCATCACAATGACAGTTTATGACTGTTCAGTAAACCATTCGGCCCGCGATTTAGGCTGGATTTTAGATTTTGGTCCCTTCTCTGATTGAGTTCGACACCCCTACTCTATCCACTGAGCCAAACCGGCTTCGGCTCACTATGATACCTTTCTCTCCCTCTTCCCATGTGTAACTTGTGTTTGTTCTTGGTGTTCTACTGAGTCTCTCCACAGTAAATCCTTTCTACCTCTGGCTGGAGGAGTGTTCAGTGACTTGGCCCTTTCTCTAAAGCTCATAGAGTCTGGGCTCTGGCTCCCTCGGGAAATGCTTTACTGTCTGTCAGAGTGAGAGAGAGCCCCCCTTCCTCAGTACCTCAAAGCTGGCCTCTCAGCCCCACACACATGCAGCTATCATCACCAGAAGTCCGTCTGCCTTAACTTGCATACCTCTGACATCTGCACAACCCCTTGTACCCATGGGCCAGTTACAGTCACTACCACAGGGAAAGAGGCACTCGGGGGATATTAAGAGCATTTGTGCTGGAAACTTTATTCTTGAGAAGTTCAGTCCTCATTTCTGCTACAGTTGGAACTTCCAGAGGAGGAGAGACCTGAGGTCTTGCACAATACATTTTTGGGCCTGCTCAGATCCAAACTCTTATCCTCCCACCGCAACCTTGGCAGCAGAATACACTTAACCTAAAGCAGTATTAGGGGCTGAGGAAAACCTGGTGGGATGAGCATGTATGTGAAATATATATTTCTCTGTTTGACCCTGTGGCTCCATCTTACTCTTTCTTTATGATGGTGATGCAACTGAATACCTCCTGGGGAGAAAGAGGACTAGGTTTAGCAAAAATAATCATTTGTGTAATTAAAGTTTATTTAAGCACAAAATACTTTCTCTGTCTATAAAATGTCTGTTTCCTTGCCAAGGGGGACAGATCTCTCCAGACAACCGAAACCAGGTGCATAGCTCTGTGGGTATATACATGTGCATGGTGGCCAGAGCCCCTTCACCCAGTGTCTCTCTCTTTCTCTCTCATGATGGTTTCTTCAGGGAGAGGAAGAGGGGACCTGGGTGGAGACCTGGGAAGATTCTGAGTGGGCGAGGCAATTAGGCTGTACCTTGAAGAAGCCCACAGTCTCCGTGGATAGCTCTTAGGCAGTATCCACCTAGGCACTTCTCTATTCGCTGCCAAGGGAAATGGGGTATTTTGACTCTCACAGAAAGCACTGGCCTGTCTTGGTCTGCACTGAAGGAGTGCAGCTCTCTCTAGCATGTTTGGTGCGATGGGTTAAATGTGTGGCCAGTTCGTGCTTTTTCTTGAGCGGGGCCCATGTGTGCTCCATGCTCACACCATGCTCTCTAAGTTCTCTTTAGACAGAGCCTCAGCTGCTACTTCAGCCTGGTTCTCATAGGGTGTGTAGGAGTCCTGGTAATCTTGAAGCAGTTTCACTACCTCCAGGTGATTGAACTGCACAGCATCGTCCAGGGGAATGTTGCCCCACCTGACAGGAACAAAGAAGATAGAGAAAGTGCCCTGGTTCTATACAGAATGGTGGCTACCCGCGCCCCCTTTTAGCTTAATCCTACTCACCTGTCCTTGACAAAAGGATTCACTTTGCAAGCCTCGATCAGAAATTTCACAACTTCAATGTGTCCTAGGAATATGGGCAGAAGGAAAAGGAGGGGGTACAGATCCTGAACCTTTTGGCGACAACAATGGTGCAGACCCTTGGCAGCTGGAGTTCTGAACCAATGAGGGAGGGGAAAAGGCCTCTTCCCGTTTTGTTCCCTGCAGTTCCCAATCACAGTCAGCCTGCAAACTGCAGGGTGTCTGGACAAAACGAGTGACTGCTCCTGTCACCTTGAGGGCGTACCCAATGAGGGAGGGTTCTCTTGGTAGAAAAGGAAGGGTCTTCCCGTCTACTTCCCCTCTTACTTAACCTTCAGATACCTTCAGCTGCAGCAACATGCAGGGCCGTGCGGGAGTCATAGTCTTTCTGTTCCATGTCCATGGCTGACAAGGCAAACCTGAGGGTAGTGGAAAGCAGCTGGAGTAACCCTTATCAGCTCAGAATCACTCACGCCCTTTCTGAAGTGGGGTCAGACTGGCTAGGTTCCAGAGCTTATGCCAAAATCATAGGCCTCGAACAGTGTGTTCTCTACCCAGACGTGACTGTTACTCCCACATCGGGGAAATGGGAGTATGATGGTTCCAGAAACATCATTGCTAATCTGTGGTAGCCACCCAGTACATATTTGCCAATGTTGTAATCCATTTAAGGCAGGGTCCTTACCTACCACCACCGCTCTTCACACCCAGGTTAATCATAATAGTGGCTACTGTTAATTAAGGTCTTATTACATATAGGCACTGTACTTCAAAAAATGTTCATTTAAGTGCACTTTGTGTCCATTGTATCTGACTCTAAAGCTGAAGCACTGAACTATTTTCCTATGATAACTCCTCATGAGATCTTATTGTGTTTATTTGTCACAGAAGTACCTTCGAAGGGCTGAGACATCTCCACTATAGGCAGCAAATAACAGGTTTACCACCGTCTTGTTCTGGAAAACAGGTCATACCCACTTAAGATTAACTGTGACTTTGAGCCTACCCATGCCCAGCTCTGCCCCATGACCCGCCTCCCTGGATGCTGGGTATTCTGAAATATTCTTAGACGCCACCTGGGGTTTTCCTTACCCTAACTTCTCCCCCTTCACGCCGTGGGTCTAACTTTCGAGCACAGTGTCTCAGGTTGTCATAGTTGTGGAAATTGAAGAGAGACACCAACTTCTAAAATTGTAAGCCAGAGAGATTATTTACTTACTCTCTGCTGTTAAGTAGGAGCTAAAAATTGCGTTAGTTGCTCATTCAAGATATATGGTATTATGTGCAAAGTAACTCACCTGGCAGAAACTGATGCCCCTGTGGCTGTTCCCCAGCTTGTCCAGTGGCGGTGAGAGACACATCATCCCCATGACATTGGGTACCACCAGGAGGATGGCTCCTGACACAGCTGACTTGGCTGGCAGGCCCACCTTGCGGACAAAGTTGAAACTGAGGATGAGCTAGAGGTGTCCCAAGTCTGGGTTAATAGTTTATCCCAAATGACTATGTGGGCAAGGCCACACCCATCTCACCCCTTTTGGCTTGATAATTAGCTTTTCCTACTCCTGTCCTCCCCTGCCCCCTTTAATCCATGGCTTCAGTAAGGACATATTTATTTGGTATCTACTCCGTGACTGAGGCTAGAACTAGGACAAAACCTCTTCGTTCTGATGACAGGAGATAGACAATAAATAGGTAGACAAATAGACAAAAATAATCAAAGCTTACGGCAATACAGAAGAAAAGAAGCAGGGTGATGGGATAGAGAAGGAGGTGGGAGGGGCACCACCTGAGGATAAAAGTGGTCAGAAAAGCCTCTCTCTGGAGGCCACATCTAACCTGAGATCTAGAGAAGCACTAGCCATGTGAAGGGCCACAGAAGATTGGCCACAACATGACGTGTTTATGTGTTTGAGGGACTTGATGTGTTTGGCAAGCCCCTGAGGATTCTCAGCCTAATCGCCTGGCTGGAAGTTAGTGAATGGGAGGCAGGTACAAGCTTCCACTTCTCCACCTTCATAGAGTCAGTGTCCTCTCTTCCTGGCTATGGGCTTGTGGCAAATGGATGGGAGGGCCAGAAGCACTCACATGGAAGGCAAACTGGCCCGAGAAGTCATACATGCCACAGGAATGCATGAGGCTGAGGGTGTTGCGCACTGCTTCAGCGCTCAGCACGCTCTCTCCTGTGATGGGACAGATCCCACCATTGGCCAGGGTGGCTGCCATGACACTGCCTGACTCACAGGTCACCTCCACGGAGCACAGCTGTGGAGACAAGGCAGAGGGGAGGGCGTGGTGTGGACCTGAACACCCTTGGTTGTAGAGCAACGTTCTTGGCATCCTGATCCTTCCACACGTCCCCCTGGTGTTTCTGGAGGAGCACCCCTTAGGGTCAGAGCAAGAAGTACAGCCTGTCCTGCTCCCTTGACCCTGAGTTGAGGGCAGTGTTTGTTTACCTGGAAGTAGAGATCGAGGGCAGCCATCATGTCCACCCCCTTAGGAAAGCACTGCAAGGAAGAAGAGGGCAGAGCGTTTCTCCTCAGGCCATCAGTAGTCTTTTTCACAGGCCAGGACCTCAGCCCAAGTCCCCCAGCCACAGAATTCCCAGGGACTCTCCTAGCCTCTCCCAATTACCTTCTTTTCCTTTAGATAATAGCCGATGGCATAATTCCGATCCCCCGTTTCCTTCTCCGACTGGAATCTGAAGCAAACACCCAATTTAGAACTTGATGTTTGAGGGGTGGGTGTGAGGAGAAGGGGGAAAAGTACTTCCCTGAGAGAGACAGAACTACATTGCACATGTTAAATGAAATCAACCCCAGTAACACTGGGAAACTCCTGGACTCCAGCAAGTACCGGGCGGAGCTTCATTATGAAGTGTAAAAGACAAAACACCCCAAATTGTTTAGCTATCTAGTCTAGAAAAACTGATGAAGGTTTTGGCTATGAGAGGCTTGGCAAGAAATCCTCACATCACCTCACTCATTAAGTACTAAATAGAAACAGAGCAAATTCTTTTATAAAGTAAACAAACACCAATGCAGGGGCTCAGAGGGAGCTGGGGGGGCCAAAGTTCCCTTGGAA